GGTTATAAAAGTACCAATCTGACTTCTTTTCGATAATCTGAGACTTCGTGTAATCCACACCCAGACCACTCAGGGGTAGAAGGTATGGCAAGTCAGGAACATCCAAGCAAGTAAAGGCAGTGAGGGCTGCTCTTAACTGTATTGCATACTTCAAAGCGAGTTTGAAGCTGGAACCCCAGTTTATAGGAATTTCGCCAAAATTTTACCATATTTCAGGCAATACCTTGTGCATTGCTGTTATGGTTCACGGTGGCTTTGGTGATGAAACTTCGTAAAACTGACGAAAAACGTAATTATCTGTATTCAAAAAGCTTTCGAAAGCACATCAAGAAAACTACCGTGCCCGATCGGACCACCTACATGCTGATCATCATGCTCGTGGTTTTTCTTGTTACCGAACTACCACAGGGATTCCTTGCTTTGCTCAATGGTCAGTCAATTTCCGCGCTTAAGGCTTTTTGGCTTTTTCTGTTATTCAAAACATGATTTTAGGCGTTTACACCACTGACGTCAACAATTACATCTACCAGCATGTTGGGGAGTTGTTCGATCTGTTGTCGTTAGTGAACTGCAGGTTTGTATGGGAAAAGTGCTTTTCAGGATTTGATTTCTCGGATGAAAAAATATAATTTTAAACGTCCTTCGATCCTTCTAGCAGGGGAAGCAGGCTCATTCTAGCTCCTTCCCCTGCCGGCCCATATGGTTTTGTCCTGAAACCTAATGATATGTTTACGTTTGGCAAATACTATCTAACTTCCGCGTAATTAGATGTGGAAAGATCATGAAAATGGAGCTCTTTGTGGTAATCGCTCCCGATTTTTTGCCCAAACACCCACTCTCTCGTCCCCCGCTCCCCCAACCCGAAATCGCCGCTGTGGCGCTTGAGGGCAATGAATAGCGGGGCTCAACAACATGTAAATTCTGATCCTTCCAGACGAACCTTATACAACTAATGGATTCCGGTGTGATGGAAAACTTGTTCAGCCCGAGTGGGTCTGTATGCTAGTTTCCCCATGCTGCTTTTTTTTGAGTTTTTGGATGGCCAGGTCAGGTTTAAGTCCCCTAAGCCACAGTTAGCCACTGGTTCTGGTTTCGGTACATCCTAATATCCAGGCATTTTCAAAGAGCTGCGCAGAAATGTCGCTTTTTATTCTCTAATGCACTCGAACTTTTTTCTTGAACAGCCTTTTTCACTTGAGCTTGCCCGATTTCGTAAACTGTCCTCTTTCAAAACTTTAGCTGAAGAAATGCTCAAAAAAGCTCAAGTAGCCGGACCCCTCCGGAAAAATGTGTTTTTGAGTGCAAACAATGCGTCTCCCCCCCTTTTCTCATTCTCAATTGGTGTTTGCAGCTGCTGGCGATGTGTTTACATTGAAGCACACAAATTTTCCCACGGTCGAACGTCATCGCGACAGTTTTTCATGAATTCGCTCAAAACTTTATCCGTTTCTTGAAACCGTTTCTTGAATATAACCCATTCTTTTAAATAAGTGCTTGGGAAATAGTCCTGGTGCCATAAAACCTCTTCAGCGCACCCATCATTTTTATGTTCCACCAGTAGCGCTCCTTCCTATTATCACATCTATAAATCTGCTCAGCAGCAAACATCTCGCAACCTTCTCAAACCTGAGTTTCGTGTAACAGAGCAGAAATCGAATAGATGTGAGGCAAAGGGGCAATGGAAAAATGAACGCCGATCAAGAGCGCGGTAGCTCCTTTTCTTTTTAAGTTGTGTAGAGCTAGCAGGAATAGTTTTCTACAATTATCAACCTTGATACACGCTAACAATCCAACATTTGAACCCCTGAGAACATTTCCTCCAATTATCTGGTTGTCTCTGAAACAATTTGGCCCTTGTCCGCATAAAACTAAAATCGATTGCAATTCACTTAGTCCCTCATCTTAGGCAGTCGATAAAACTGTCTGATCCATTTTCGTAGAGATTTTGAGAATGCGGTGGGACTGTCTGCGCAGTTCTTCCCAGAACCCTGTGTTTAACTGCTCATATACAGACCCTGTTGGGGAGAAAATTACCTCTTCATAAAGGCAATAGCCTTTGAGCCTAAAGGAAATAAAAATATTGTAGATTTATATCCTTTGAAGAGTTCTTGATTCAACTTTTCTTCCCTAGTCAGTGAAATATTATCATGAACTCATTTCAGTGTCGACTTCGTGCTGTACTGCTTCATGAGCTCACGCTACCGACAAACATTTGGTCATATTTTGATCCGGGTGGAAAGTTGGTTACGTAACCAAAGCAGCGGTTGTAAATATTCAAAGGAATTCTCTAAAACCCCACCACCTACGATTGTCTAGTAGCCAACTTTAACAAGTATGCCATCGTAAGTATGTATTTAATAATTGTTGCAAACTTCCATGACGGGTTTTTTCATCTGATCTGTATATCTATGTATGTAAGATTATTCGATATTGTATAATTTTACCATAATCGCACGGGCTAGTGATTGCCGAATTGCTCTTACTGTTAGCGAGAATCGGTCAGCATGCCACAATCTAAGAACCTGGCCAAAAAAGGAAATGAAGGAAAGCAAAAATGTATTGTTGAATGCTCTTAATCTTTCCTAGATAGTCAGAAAAACACAACGGACGTTCCTCGATGTTCTGCTCAGCTCGCTTTCTCAATACTCAGTTTTGAAGAAATTCTTATGTGTTCCATATTGTCCATATTAATGCCAAGCCCATTGGCCATTCTCTCATCGCTACGAAGTTTCACTGTACGGGTATCTATGATAAAGATTTTTTCTAGTTTACATTCCTCTGAATGAAAAATTGGTTAAAAGCAACTTTCTCAGCGTTTACAGACGCAAAATGTTGCAGAGGAAAGGGTCGAGGGTGGAATAGGGTCTGGGCATTCAGGCGTTCCATAGAGGCTTCTTTAGGTGCTGCTTTTTGCCATATATGGGCAACTCCTATCAACCTAGAGAGATTGTATCATTTATATGATCTCGCCCCAACAATTATTCGGTAGAATTTTCCTTACCGTTTACTCCTTGTAGTAGGAGAGAGCATGGTATTTGGGAGTGCAGTGTGTATGTACATAGTTCTTCACCTTGAAGGTACTTCGAGCCAATATAAATCTATGGCTCCCTCATATGACATATATAACGCTATAAAAAACGATATGTATGTATGTCAACTGCTACTGAATTTCGATCTTTTGTAGAGAAATTGCTGCTGGCAGCTTTACAGTGAATAGATGATATATATTTATTCATTATATATAGATGAATGAGATACATTTGTTTATCAACTATCAAATTCTTAACAAAGTTAGAACACTGGATCTTTGAGGAAGTGATGTTGAAAAAAGGAAGCACGCATGTCTAAGTTTTGGGGTCAAAAAATTGCACTTTTGATTTATTTCAGACCAAAAGCCATTCTCACTCCACTCAGAAGAAGTTTTCGCTCGAATTAGCTAGTTTTTGTAGCAAATGTGTCGCAAACAAACTTGCAAATGCCAATCTCTCACAGGTTTCTTTGCAATATTGTTATCCCATATGAACGAGGCCATCATGTCGCCTTTCCCAGATTTCCTGAATTGTTTGTTGTAGCTTGAAGTAGACCTCTACTCTCGCTCTAGAACTCATCCATAAGGCCCTGATGAAACCGATAGAGGGCATTTTTTGCTGCGCGGTGGATAAGCATCCGCCGCGTTTGAGGCTTCTCTACGTGTTGTTAATTGAAAGAATCCTGATCTGACTAGTTTTTCGGGAGCTCCCTGGCTTTCGAGACAAAAGTGAACTTCCCTTCTTATCTTTTCCACTCATGTTTTCAGCTCGCAAACATAGATCCGATTTCAACAGAACATTGCTCACCAGTTTCAATGTCGTGACAAACTGACGCCACCCACGATAGGCTGGAAAATTTTGAATGAAAATATATATACAGTGGCGCTCAGAAGATTTCGGCCATAGCTTTTTCAGTCGTACCTTTTTTTGGTGGAGCAAATCGCATGAAATTTTGATATGATTAACTAAAGCATATTTCACACTATCCAACACTATCCGACTGCAAAGCAGCGGTATCTACATAACTAAGGGCAAAGTCTTTTAGGGTTAGCAAAAAGCAAAGTTAGGGGCGTCTACAGTTATTCGCACCTTATGTGCGGTTTGCAACTCTTACACTTAAGACATGGCAAAAAGGAAAGAAATCCAAGAAGGACCAATGTCTGTCTTTCCAGTTGATTTCGAGTTCAAGCCCTTTGGGATATCTGGAACATGATCAGATCGCAAGTTAATAGTGGTAAACATTCACAATACACCCATGCTACACACAAATTTATTGACTAGATCTAGTAGGAAAGAAGTTACGACGGAAAAGTACGAGCGAAGAAGCATGTGACCGAATACTTTTAAGCGCTACTGTATGTGAAGGAAGATATATTCTGCTTCAACCTGTCAACGTAGACACCTTTGAGGGACAAAACCTTGGCCATAACGGCTTGATGTTGGAGCCATATCTCATTTCCTCTATTTTATGAGCACTATGTACTTTTCAAGGGGTTACGGCAAGCAATGGAGCATGAGATTTGCTCACAGAGTTGGAACAGTGAGTGGGCGATACATGTCGTAATTGTCAGAAAACTTGACAAACAACTTTAGTGGCTAAGCTTCATTGCCTTGATACTGCTCCTCTTAATTTCCAGAAGAAAATCAACATCCAGAGTTTCCAGAAGTCGGATAATCATCCATCTTCACTCTCAATGAACTTTGGCATGGCTTTGAAAGCTGAAAGTCTGTCAGCTATTTCGCGAAGGTTTCACCGATTTCCAAGTGAGGAGCAGGACTGAAAAGCTTACAAAATATGTCACCAAACTTTATCAATAAAGGATACAAGGATAAAGTTTTGAAGCTTTAATCAATCCTGTCTGAGGGATGCGCCCGCCCCCCCTCCACTTCCATTCAGAATCGTAGTGGTGTATTGAATGGGTGTGTGGCCTATACAATCACTTGCGATGGCTAGCCGACGTACAAGCCTGTGCTTTTATCCTCCAAGACGAGTCCGCCACCAATTTTCGCCTCCGAAGGGATGGAAAGCGAAGGGAGCCTAGGCGGATATCTATTCGGGAATGGAACCCGCGACCGTGCGTGCAAGGCACTGCGGCACTTGCTACTAAACCACCTTCAAGGAAAAAGGTTTCAGTTCACCAAAGTTCAGACTGACTACTGACTCATCGCATTAACACCGAATTACTGTCACAGAAAAGCAAAGACAAAACGTGTCCAGCAAATTCTAGCTCCCACAGCAGAACTGTAAACAAATTTCGTCAACCGTCTGGCTACTGCTTTCCAGCTGATGTCTTTGCCTACTCTATTAGCGGTTTTCTACCTCTCCTCAATGTGGTAAAACAGTGTTTCGTGAAAATGAAATTGAGAGGTCGTTCAGAAAAGAGTTTCGAAAATGGAGAACAGATAAAACCGTGGCAACTTTTTTATCGCAGATGGACATCTTTAGCAAAGACCCCCAGCCCATCCTTTCACAGAGGTGGTTATTTGAGTTCAAATAGTTTTTCCCCACCGCCAGGTGTATGGGTTTCCGGGAAGCCAACGTTAAGCCATCTGGTCGTGCTCCGGTAGAACAAAAGGGCAACGAACTACAGCGGCTCAACCGGTTCTTGTGTTTCCGGCTTAAATCGTCGCTGCAGCATCTTGAAGGAGACCAGTATTGAGTTCTATTTTTTGTCAAATGTTGAAATTTCAGGAATTGAATAAACGTTGAAAATGAAAGAAAACACTTGAAAGCTTGAGGAATGAGAGTGGACTGTCACATAAGCGTAGATTTCTCCACACCCACACTGCAAAAGTGCGGATTCTATCGAAAACGTATCACTGCAATCGTTTCCAGCTCTCAATCCTGGTTCCAACCTACAGAGGAAGAGAGAAAACCCAGATTGAATTCGATCAATTTCATGCCCACTGAAACCTACATACTCACGGTAGTTCAAGTCGTTAGGCTCATTTTAGTCAATCCAGTTGTGAACCTACATAGGTTACCCCCTCCCCCTCCCCCCCCAACTTACTAATGTAAGCCTTTTCTCTGAGTTGCTATGGCTCCTAATCTGGTCTTATTGACGGGAATCCCTGACAATGCAGATATGGTAATACCGTAGTGAGTCCCTACATGCACGCACTCTGCGCGAAGTGGGTACGCAGTAGGAACGAAACTGTCGCGTCGCGGCGAGAGAGACGTCGCGCGCGAAGGAATGTAGCAGGAAACAGCAGCAAGTAAGAACTTCAGGAACAAAAAAACTAACAGTAGAATCATGCCATAAGTAATAATCGCATAGCGCTGTATGATGAACCCTAAAACTGTTATAATGATACAAACGGTCCGCGACAGCAGCGGGCAGCGGATGATTACACGAAACCGTTCCTACTGCCCGTCTCCCGCGCTAAGTACAGGGAAAGGATAATATACAGTTCAGAAAACAATTGCTAAAATTTTCATTCCAAAATGACGAAGTCATCAAGCACCTGAATGATCTCTAAGAGTGGCGAATTACCATACTATTACGTCATTTGTCTTTTTTTTTTGAAAATATCTNTTTTTTTTTGAAAATATCTTTCAAAAATTTGCAATACTATCGGTTTTTCCTACAATCTTGTGCAAGTTTTCATGAAATTACTATATAAGGGCATTATTCACTCGTATGCGCATAATGTATTCGACTCCTTATTCTTTGCTTGTTTAGCTCTTCAGTGTCAGATTGTCATCCCATATTACCGAAGGTTTCAGAAGGTCCATTTTAAAGAGTTCGACCCCAGCCACTCAGCTGATGAATCTCATATGAAGTTTTGTCATCACGTATTTGACCGGGAAGCTTCCTCGAAAGGCTTCAGTCTAGGCTTCTTCTACGCTTCTTCTGGTCGGAAAAAAATCAAAAAGAAACCTTGTTCTGGTCAGCCGACTGCCACATCATAAAACCTCCGCATTGTATGTATGCGCATACCAGTTAGTAGCGACCTTAACAAGCTTCACTCAAAACTTTTGGATCACGGTAGACAAAATCTAGACCTCTGTGAGATTTTGGGCACAATTTCAGCACCCTACATTAGAATTATTCGAAAAATCTGCACTTCGTTGCTTTGGAATTGCATTTCAAGTTCATGAGCATGGGAGAGTGGGAGATATCGCTAATTCTGAAATTCCTTCTCCATAGAGCACATTTTTCCAAAAGATTTGTAGAAGAGCCTTGACGAGAACCTTTTTCCCCACGATCATTGGGGTCTATGTGTTTGCTGAACGTGAAAGGGAAACTGTCGCAAACAAATCCAAAGAAACCGGCGGAGGCTCATAGTCTGATACATCGTCCATGTAGGCCAACAAGAGCATAAGATCAATACCGCCTGCACTTCAAGATTCGCCTTCAACGACTTTGCGTACGACAAGAGGTTTCCAAANCTCCCCCCCCCCCCCTCCCTAAAAATTCGTTGGTGTTGTGAGATATCCGCATGCTTGGACTGGATCGTAAATATTGGTAGGATATGAGTAATTACCATGAGGTCAGACTTAGTAATACTTGTGATAACTTACACTAATATCTATACTAGTACGGTAATCGTACATTATATTTATTACTGGAATATCCCGTCAACCCGGGAGAGGCGTTCAAATAGCCCCACGCATCGAAGATCAAGTACATGAGCCACATTACCAGACAGCCGTTGAACACGAACGGTCTCCAACTGGATTCCCACCCAACCGGAGAATCCAAGAAACAGGAAATTCACGGCGTACATGGAAAGCAGAAAGCTTTGTGAGTTTCCACAACTTCGTACTCTTCACTTAGAAAACTCAAAACGAAATCCATTTTTGGAAGGCATCCCAGATGGAGGAGTCAAGTGCAGGTAACAGAAAGAATTGAAAGTCAAGTCAAGAAATAGCCTTCATCAGGTTGGTTGTTGAGTCCCATCCCTTTCTGGTTTGTGTC